AAAATATTAAATTTCTCAGGATTAAAATTTGTTTTTTGTTATCAGCTGGTTTAAATCTAAAATAAAATATACCCAAACTGCAGGAACTCCCTGTGGCTCTGCGAGCAATGCTTTCCTGCCTCAAAGAATGATGCATTTGAAGAAATAAGATCAGTGCCTTTGAAACAGATTCCTGGAGTGGTTCAGCTGTAGAAGTCAGTTAACTGAGATCCGTAAAGTTCTGATGCTGTTTAGAGCACAACTGGATTCCTAAACTTTCTTGCGCTAAGTAATGTACCTTCTTCACAAACTCAGGCTAAAAGTTGTGAGTCACGTTGTCTCAGAGATCTTGGTTCAACAAAGCCGTGCAGAGAAACTCACCAAGCTGTCAGTCAATTTCTCCCACGTGTCGTCGAATCAACTATCCTAAGTGAGGTCTGTTTGAAAAGAAAATGCGTTCATTCTTGGCTGTAAAAGAGGATGCGTTCATTCTCAGGACCTACATAATTTCAACTTACTCTTTGAATTTAAGAATCTTCAATTTCCAATAAGGATATCTTACATATCTATAAGTCCACCATTCGTCCATGCTTAGAATATTGCTGCCAAATATGGTCCAATGCCCCTGCTATTTACCTTCAGCTCCTTGATAAGATCCGAAGAAGAATCAGCAATATTATTGGTCTTGATCTGTCAATTCGGGTCAGTCACCCTCCCACCGTCGCAAGGTTGCCTCCCTGTGTAACGAACATTGTGTACCGAATGAGAGAGAAAGAGAGATTAAGAGAAGAATAAACATTGTCTACCAATGAGAGAGAGAGAGAGAGAGAAGTACGAATTTTGTGCACCCAGTAAGAGAGAAGGAAAGAGTGAGAGAGAAAGATATATATATATATATATAGAGAGAGAGAGAAAGCGAGTTATATATATAGAGAGAGAGACAGAGAGACAGAGAGAAAGAGAAAGAGAAGCACTAATATTGTGCAGAAGCTGAATGGTTTCTTTTGTTTTATGTAATAGAATATTTTTCTGGAAGAGCCACTTTTTTATGTGTAAAAATGTGTAAATTATTTTTTCATTTTTTGTGTTGTACAAGACCAAAGACAAACTCATATTCTAAGGTCAGTTTAAAGTGATGCCTTTTAGCTTTTCTTGAATTGTGATAATTTTGCTTAAAGTTTCTATTTTCCTGATTTCAGATGAAAACCTACTTAAGTGACATTTTTACATATCAAAACGAGAATTTATAATCATAGTTTAGATATCTAGAAAAAGGCGTCAATTTAAACTGACGCCAGCATATGGATGGAGCTAACGTCTTCTTTTTTCTATGTACTGTGGCTATTTCGTATTTTCTTGATTTTAGATGAAAATTTCGAATGCACCAAGTGAAATTTTCACTTTTCAAAATTGCAGGTTATAATTACAGTTCAAATATATGACAACAAAATAAGGTGCCTGTTTAAACTGACGTCTGGCGGATACGAATTGAAGAACAATTTTTCCTATTTAAAGTTATTTTACTACGGGAAACGCTGAGTATCCCGCCTATATCCTAACCACTGATATTTGGTTGAAGCATATGTAAACAATTCAGTCATATCGTATTTTGTTGGTCACTTCAGCTGGTGTGAATTTCCTTTTTCACACAGTTTTCTACCATTTTTCATCAGCAGGTGTTGGTTGTGTTTCTTTTACATTATTTTATTGTCAAAATACATTTTATCATCAGCTCGGAACCTAGATATATATTACATAAGAAAACGTAATTTAGTACACATCTGCGTTATGTGACATTTTTAACACGTTTAACACGTATGAACTTCATTGAGTTAATATATTAAGAATAAAAAAATAATAATTAAAAAATCATGCGTGTAGATCGTTTTCATAAAAACTAAAATGGTTAATTAGTCAATCACAAGATACTTTCCAATCACTAAATCACGTCACACATTGTTACGCAAAACAGGAAAAAACAAGCAAAAAAAAAAAAAACAAAGAAAAAAAAGCGCGCCAAAATGACGAACCACTCAGTTTCCAATACATCCTTCCATGTAATTAATGCTGATGGCGCTAATTAAGCTTTTTTTTTCAGCTAAGTTACAAGGCATTTTCTTATCGAACTTTCTCTTAGGCAATTTCGCCTCAAGCATAATTATTCACTTTTTCCAAGTACGTCTACACTGTCGAGTTAAAAGTCATTGGATGACAGCATGTAAAAATAATTGCAAGTGGCGCCACTGTATCTTGACCTGATGAAAATACCCAGACATATATCACTTGTGCTCTAACTTTTGGTGAATCAGTGGGAACATCGGCTAGGCAGCTAACGACAAAACTACGTGAAATATTGGATTTCGAACAGGACATATGTATGGGTGACATGCAGATGGGACATACCATTTCTCAAATTGTAAGGACATGTGACATCACTCGATCTACGGCAGTATTTCTCAACCTTTAAGCAACGGCACACCTTGGAATAAATGAAAATATCACGGCACACTTAGCGTGATTTCGTGGTATGGTATTTCAGATATTTTCCAACATATATATATATATATATATATATATATATATAGGAATCGCAGATGAAATGCGTTCTTCGCATGCTTCCCCATTATATATATATATATATATATATATATATATATATATATATATATATATATATATATATATATATATATATATTATATATATATTTTTATATTTTCTGTGTAACCGCTCTATTAGACACAATTTAAGTAAATCCTTTTGCCTTTTAATTAAAAAGTACTGTTTAACTAAGAAACAGTGTATTTACTTAAATAAATTGTATTTAATAATAACAGAAAATACTTTGCATAAACGTCGGACTTAACCCATTTTCCATTATATATACATATATATATATATATATATATATATATATATATATATATATATATATATATATATATATATGTGTGTGTGTGTGTGTGTGCAGAAGCTCGAGAATGCTTATGATCCTGTATATGTGTGCAACCTGTGTCTATAAAACGTGCGTATAAACAAATGTATATATTTGCATTCCCTCTCTTGCATCTTCCTGTGCATCCATCCATATCACCGCATCTTTCTAGGAACCTAACCTGCTACATCACTGGAAAAATGGTTTTCTATTTACGCACTGTTAAAGCCAATTCAACTCAGTATAAACACTCATAGCAGAGCTACGGGGATGCTGACTGACGGAGTTATTCAGTGGCTAAAAAAAAGAAGAAAAGCCTCGTTCTGATGTAGGTTCGGTGTCAGCTTCAGAGAAAACGTTTAGAGGACAGTCGTGGTTCAGAGGTAAAATGAAGCAAATACGAAAATTTAAATATCTCTGAAGTGTTTTAACAGAGGACGGAAAATGTGACAACGATATACGAAGGCGAATAGTGAAAGTGCCTTCCAGAAACTAAGGAAAGCATTAAGAAACAAGAAAATTTCATTAGAAACGAATAGTGCTGAACTGCTGTGTAATATCTAATTTTTTACATTAGAATAGTAAAAGAAGCCTTCCCGAAACTAATCAAAGTATTAGGAAATAGGAAAAGTTTGTTAGCAACAAAGAAAAGTGTGCTGAACTATTATGCAATATTGGTTGTTCTATAGGACAGTAAATGTTACTTGATCTCCTCACAGATGAAGATGAGACTTTAATGAACAGAAATCGGGTTCTACAGAAGGTTGCTGAGAATACCATGGACTGAATATGTGATTAACGAGGAAGTTTTAAGGAAAATGAGAACAAAAAGAACGCTTATACTTTAAATGAAAAAAAAAAAAAATAAAGTTAAAATTTTTAGGGCGCATAATAAGAAAAGAAGGATTGGAGAATTTGACACTCACATGACATTGAAAGTAAGCGGGACACAAGAAAACAACAAGTGATTTATTTAACAAACAAATGGATAGCAGGATAGCGATTGGGGCTGATGGTGAAAAGACAAAATTTACTAAGAGCTACGAAGGATAGGAAATTGTGGAGTGCCATAATCGCCCACGTCCTGAAGGGACACGGCACACAGAAGTAGTATCCATCTTCAGACCGAAACCATAGCCAAGTAGTTAAAGTATTCAGTTGGAATAAAGATTTGTAACGTTCTTTAATAGTTTGTGTTTAAGAACATGATTCCATTTCACACGTGACTGAAATTTATGATACATATTCCGAAAGGTGACATTTCAATATTCCTTTCGTTTGTGAATTTTTAATTTTAAATATTTTTAAGTGAAAAAAAAAGAAAAAAAAAAAAGAGTCGAACGTAGTCAAGATCATCGAGTCAAAGTGAACGATGCTTTTTGTTATGGTAATTTACCCATGCACAGATGGACTCTTCCAGTTACAAATAAGAGCAGGTAATTGTTTTTAGAGAGTGTAGTTTTCCAGTAGTCAGCTCTTACAGTCGGACTTAACAGTCTTACTCGTTTGTATATGATTGTATTACTGTTTTTTGTTAATATATTTGATAACACAATTCTTCTCGTCTTTACTTCTGGACCCAACAAGGCCACAACACTTTCCTTAGTAGCTGCATAGTATGTGCCTCCCCAAGGCTTCATATAGTTTTGAATTTAGAGTTTTTCCTTCTCCTAGACCGGTTGCCAACCTAGGCTATAGAATTCAGACTGTCCTATTATTTACCCATATCTGGTGCATGTATGTGTGTGTGTGGGGGGGGGAGAAGAATTGGATTCTTACCTTTTCCAAGACTACTAGTTCGTAAGCTCGATTGGAATTCGAATTCCTAAGGTATTTGAAAAATACTTGGACATGTGAAACGCTGCAGTGTTTGGTTGACTCACGATTTCACGAAGAGAAATTTATGGACCGCATTTCCATCTGCGATTCCCTGTTCAAAAGCAATAAAATCAACCCAATTTTGAAAAGAAAGATCCAAGCGATAAAAAATGGAAAAGCGAAAAAATACCCCGAGGAAATGAAATGAAGCACCATGAACTTCAAAAGCAGAACCGGTAGAAATTGGTACAGCTTGGCTAAGACATCCTACACCGAAACACCGGTTCTCGTAAGATCACCGAAGTTAAGCAACGTCGAGCTTGGTCAGTACCTAGATAAGTGACCGCTGTAAACTTGGATGTGCGAGTGGTGTAATGGATAACGGCTCGGAGCTGGAAATCGGAGAGCCGAGTTCAAAATAGATCCGGGTTCGTTATATGCACTTGTTCGTAAATACCCTTGTGAAAGATGAATGCACTTTTTCTCCTCCCAGCTACGGGTTAATTAGTAAGACTTATATGACTAAACTAGCAGCATGGCCCGGCGTTGCCCGTGCTTGATTAAAAAATCGTACGACACATACAGCAATCGCTATCACTTGACTTAAAATATTTTTGCCCTTCTTTGCCTTTAAAGGAGTGCCTTTTGCTGTGCTGATGTTGCTACATGCCTTACTTCTTGCCTATCTCACACTGCGAATTTTTTCTAAGCTCTATACTAAACATTAAATCTGTTACGAAAAAAGAACTAAACAAAATGAACACAAAACGATCAGCTTTAAAAAAAAGGACTCGCAACTGGAAAAACCGAATGAAAAAAGAAAGTTAACAATAAATACTTTTTCACACCCAACCCAGTTCTGCGGAATCAGAATCAACGTTGAGTTTAAGCAAGCGAATGAGCCAATTGGAGTAAAGTGCCATGCAGATTTAAATTTTTCACACTTGTGAAGAATGCAGCTATCGATTTTTTTTTTTGCATACTAGCATGCTAGTTAACATTCGTGTCAGTCAGCTGTTGGCTCTCACGCTGGCCAATAGAATCTTCCTGCCTATTAGTGGCAGCCAGCTATAGGCTCTCACTCTGGCCAGTAAGATATGGCCGCAAACAACATGAAAACTGCCGTAGAAGCATGAAAAAATTGAACATTTCTACTATCGATGGGAGTTGGGAAATGCAAAGTCGGTCTTGTCCTTCCCACTAACTTGGAGCATGTGCATGTAAATTTTGGTGCAAATTCGTCAAAAGTTGCGGCCGCGCATTCGTTGCACACACACACACACACACACACACACACACACACACACACACACACACACACACACACACACACACACACATCCTGCCTTTTATAGATAGAGATCATTATCATCTCTTCCAAAATTCTTACACTCTAGAAATTCACTCTGCAGCGATCTCTTTCTCCAATAAAATCACATGACGCTTCCGGACGAAATATTGAGTAAATTTGTTTGAGACTAAAGTCAGGCAGTACGCAGATTATCCAGTGGTCAGTAGAAGCTGCTACTGATTCGGTGTAAGTCAGATGTTTACAGCAATGTTATTGATCATTTTGATCGTAATCGTAAGCCAAGAAGAAGTAAATTGATCAACGTTTAAAAATTGTAATTTACTACATCTTATTGATATGTTAAATCAATAAAAATATTTCATTTTCGTCTAAGATTATAACTGTGATACTTGCTTAAACCAGCAAATATTTCTGGATGCCTCACCGATATATATTTGCTTGTATATGTGCACACAGGTATATACCTTCACAAACACGCATAAGCTTACGGCCATATCACGTTGAAATACCGGTTCTCGCCCGATCAACGTCGATCCGGGTCAGTAACTAGATGGGTGACCACTTGAGAATACTAGGTGTTGTAAGCATGAATGTGTGGGTGGTGTCATACAGAACGGCTCAGAATGAGGAATCGGTGCGCCGAGTTCGAATTCCAGTCGGGTTCGTTACATTCGCTTACGCGCAAATACCACCTTGAATCCACCATGAATCCACCTTTTCTCCCGCAGCTATGGGTTAAATAGTAAGACTTATATCTGAAAATCATTATTATGCCCCCACCAAATAGTAATACAATATTTACTCACAAAAAGAAAAAAGAATTATTCTTACAAACTTTCGGCTTTAAATAACCAACAAAAGGCTGATAAGTCGTAAAAAATAAATCAATAAAAAACAAACACGCATAAGCACATTGTACTCATAAAAGTAAAAACGCGCTCAGACATACAGCAATGAAACGCGCTCAGACATACAAGAAATGCAACAGAAGCACATGAAACATACACAAACGCAGCCTCACAGAACACACATACAGTACAAACAGAGCAACACTTACATAATGCAAACATAGACGCTCACACATAACGCAAACACAGCACCACACGCGAAGGTAGCCTGAAAACGTCTGGGGAAAATCCTTTTTCTTTTTTTAATTATATCTTTCTAACAGATAAGCCATTCACAATGTCGGAATGATGTCAGCCATGACATCAGCAAGAAAATAAGTATGAATAAATGAATAATAATAATAATAATAATAATAATAATAATAAAGAAATAGTAAAAAACAAAAAATAAAACAAATCAAAAGAACAAATGTTGGAGTGTCGAGGTTGAACGACGGCAGAAAAAGGAGTTTGGCGAACAGGTGAAAATCATAAAATTCAAGGCAAAAACAAAATGGCCGCTTCATAAAAGATCTTTTCCATTGAAATCTTTTCCCCTTCTTTTTGCCTAACAGTCGGCAACTTTTATTCTTCATTAACTATTTACATATTTGCCATGCCGTTGCTTTAAAATACCATATACGCACATATATGTGACCACGGATTCATACACATATGATGAAGTATTGCTGTCGTTGGTCGGTTGATAATAAAAACACGAGACTTACTCTCTCATATTTAACATTATACTTTATCTCACTACGCTTGTCTTCTATGTGCCGTATCCCTTCAGGGCGTTGGGGATCATGGCTCTTAACAATTTCCTGTGCTTTGTAGCTTTTCATAAATTTTGACTTTTTTTTTATCTCTCCTAAACACTGTTTGGGACATTTTTTCATCATGGCATGCTTATTTTTTCAGCGAATCAGTGGTGGTACATACATACATACATACATACATACATACATACATACACACACACACACATACATATATATATATATATATATATATATATATATATATATAAACAAGCATTTGATAAACCGAATTCATTTGCTTGGGATGATAAAGAAGCAGTTATAGCTTCAGTTGGATATAGGTACCGTAAATTTAATTTTGGAAATGATAAATATCCATTTGATATATATATATATATATATATATATATATATATATATATATATATATATATATATATGGAACAAGGTGGGTTGTATGTATGCTTGTGTGGCATATCATTAATTTGATTTAAAGTTGTAAACATGACATAGACTCTAATCCATGTTCATAAAATTCCAAATTAAAAGATAAGTGCTTAAATTCTACTTACTCATATATAAGATTCCATGACATATTTTAGTTTATACTTTTGGTGCAGTTGGCGAAATATCTGAATTTTCCATAAATCTAACTGCACGTTGTCTTCTTATTCAAAATTTCTTAGATTTCGTCCGCAAGTCAATACACACACACACACACACACACACACACACACACACACACATATATATATATATATATGTATGTATGTATGTATATTTGAGCGTTGATCAAAGCCTTTTACTGATTGTGACAGACGATTCAAAGTCTTTGTGATGTGAGTCGGCCAGGAGTGGTTTTTCGGCATGGTGCCAAAAAAAATAATAAAACAAAAAAAGAATACGAAAACTAAAACAACAAAAAAACTTGAGTATAGAGCTAAGGGTGAGCTGGTGCGATTGTAAGCTTTCATTGTTAGTTTACGGACCTTACTTCCCAGGAGACCCAATTAAGCTCTCGGTATCAACCATGCTTAAGATTTTGCGTAACTTATGAAACAGAATAAAAGTTAGCAGCAGAAGAACATTAAAAACATGTTCTTTAAAAACATAATAAAAACATGAATTGAACAGAAGTGTATTAAAATCGGTTCTCTTTCGCTACATCCCTTAGTCGTATGGTTACGATAGATTTTGAGTCTCGGAATAGCTGTGGTTCCCACAGGGAAGTGGCCAGTTTGATTTTTAAGGGAGGCAATTCGAGAAAGCGTTACTAACTGAATTTTTTCTAGTGAGTCTGTGTGAGTATGTGTGCGTGTGTATATGTGAGTTAATACAAACGATGCATATATAAAAATATTTGTATGTATGTATGCACTGCATATAATATAATGGGGGAGTGTTTTGCTTTCTGACTATGAGATTCAGGTTCGAATCTCACCATGGTCGATATGTCAGGAGGGTGACTTCTTGATGCAACCGGTCTGAGAGTGGTAATCCTAGCACGAGGAACCTTTTAAAAGCGCCTGAAAACTATACCACGGGTTGAGTGAACTCTTTGTGACCCGACGATGGTTGTTCTCACACGAAGTCACAGTCATCGTGACCGAGAGGTTGAGCGTGCTGGCCCTGTTCAGACTGTTGATCACGTTCGATAACGCGCTGTATAATATCTATATTAATATTAGTAAAAGTATTGTAAAATTCTAAAATTAAATCTTAATACTATTGCATATATGCAGTTTCAAGTTCTTAAGGGAAGTTAAGTTATTGGCTTTTTAGGATTCCTCCACTTTTTCAACAATAAGAATTATATGTCACAGGCCAGCGGCACCGGCATTTTAGAGATGCTTAGGTGGGGCATACCAAAAAAAAAAAAAAAAAAAAAAAAAAAGGGAGAACACTGAGCTATGCAGAACATTTATCCTTTCCAAGGTTAAAATTACACGATTTTTTTTAATAATAAGAAACTCGTTTATGAGCAACTTTACTGAAATTAGACTAAATATTCAGTAACTCCAGTACTGACGTCAACATGGCGTAACAACTTAACAAAAGATAAAAAGGAAAAAAAAATAAACAAAATAATATAATGCATTATTTTATTCAATAATTCTACCAGTTATATTATTTCTGTTACATTAAAATGCCTTTTTATTTCTATTTACAAGATGCCACCATAACATATCTAAGCGATCATGTAACTTGAGAACTAATTATTAAGTAAAAATTAAGCAACCTGAGTACTGTTCAAAATCCCAAGTTACTTATAAAATATCGTATACTCCAAGATTTATTTTTAATCATTTAACTCCAAGCAAGTCTATAAAACCACTACTGGGTGTTAAAGAATATGAAAGAAAGCTACTATTAAGGGGAGAGAACAATAAAAGAAC